ATGGCAGTTTTAAGAAAAAAATTTAAAAAATATCGAAAATTAGCGAGTTTTAAATTGTAATGTTTTTGGAGATTTCTCCCATTTACGAGAAACGAGGGAAATTTTTTTCAATTTTTGAGTGTAATGTCTTCGGATAGATACAATTTGTGATCTTTTGACGTATCAGTTCGATGAGATCTGAAGAAGTGGTAACAGACACAAAAAAAAATCATAGTAAAATTAATACCTACTCAACTTTGCATCGAAGCTAATAAATATACTTCGATTATTTGTGAATTTATAATGTATACCAAGCCACTTATGTAGAAAAGTATAAAATTTTAAATATAATTAAGTTATAAAATAAAGATATCTATCGCAAAAAAATATTTACCCCACACAACCAATAACGGTTTATGATTTTTATGTCATCAATACAATGGGTGACATACAATAAACGGTAGTAAACTTCCGTTGAATATAAGGAAACTAGGAGAGTACTAGGAAAGTACAGGATAGGATGCTAAGATGCTACAGAAATCCCTACTCCAATATATATTTGTCTCTTTAACATAAATGTGACCTAATTAATGAACTTAAAATTGTTACGAATAATAATTATAATAATAATACAAATTAGAAGAAAAAGAATATTGTCATTCTCTGATATAGATCTAGATCTATTATTGTATATGCAAATAAACTCTAGGAAATTAAAAAACAACAAGAAAATTAGTCAGAGAATATTCATTTTATATTATTGTTGTTGTTAATGAAGGGTAACCAAATAAAAATGTCAAACAGAGGAAAAAAACTTTTATTTATTTTACTTACAAAAAACTTATAAAAATCCCATTATTCCAAAAGATAATATTTTATAGGAAAAAAACTTCTTTTTCTTACATAAAAAAAAACCAACAGCGTCGTAAGACGCATGAATACTTTAAAATAACCCAAATTAAAATTGACAACACGATTGAGAAACTTTTTGCTTATACACATATTATTAAAAATACATGAGCTTTAAGTCGTTGGACTTATGGAGTTTCTCAAATAAACCAAGTTGATTATTCGAGTATGTTTGGAAACTAATAGTTAACGGCTAGATTTGACAAAAAAAAATTATTTTTACGTGTGAATACTATGTGCACAGTAAGACCTTAAAAATTACAAACACAATGGAGTTGGATAAAAAAATTTGTCCGGCAAGCAATGATGTAATTATACTACAACTTTGTAGTGCTTTTATATTTATTACATTTCAGAGTCGTTGGAGTTTTCAACAGACACGCGTGTAACTTTACTTTCATAGTGATGATACTATACTTTTTGGATATTCGCTATTTCTCTGGTGAATGACAAACAAAAATTACTATGTGGGCGAGAAAAAGTTGCATACACTAGTGTTTCCGTTACAAAATGTTTAACTACACCTCTAGAATTGAAAATAATAACAAAACGAATATGAGCAAACGAGTAAAATAATGGTTTTCTGAGTTAAAATCTACCCCGTATTTAAAAAATACAATTAGTACCATGCCAGTGGCGTGACTAGAAATATTTTATTATAGTTTTAAATAATTTTGATGAGGTTTTATTTAACTACTAATATTCGAGGAATGATAAAAAAGAAAAGTGTTGGTTACAAAAAAGATTGTCTACAACAAAATTCCATAATCTCCCGTCACTTAGGAGGAGAGGTTTATTTATAAGAAAAGTTTTTACTATTTCCTCCAATTGTTATAAAAATTGATCTTTAACGTGAAATTATTTACATAATTGAAGATTCTACTATCATTAGAACGCCCTCATTCTTACAAGTTTTTAAATTTTAGAACCTTCTAAAATAAATAAATTTAATAGATATTTTTTTTAGAAAATATCATTATCCAAGACAATTTTTTTGTTTTATAAAAATATTACTTAATTAATCCATTTTTATTTGCATTATTTTTTAAATTTATAAGCATACAATTGAGTAAATTTAAACAAATGGGTTAATTGTAAGCACATTTTTAAAAAAGATGCATAAGTGGTTATTATATATTTATATTATAAAGATAACTATATACACGAGGATTGGAATTGTCTTATCTAGATTAATATTTTTTGAATATTTTAAGGGAAATTATATATTTACAATTACCCCATTTAATTACATTTGATCTTGTATAATTAACGATTAATTTTTTTTCTTTGATATTTAAGTATTATTTAAAAGTTTATTAGATAAAACTGACAGACATATTTGTTTTTAATATTAATACTATTAATATTGGATATATTTTTATAAAAAGAACATAAAATAAAAATATAGTTTACATTATATTTAGTTTTTAATGCATTATATATTTAGGTTTCTTTAAGAAATTGTATAATTCTTTTTTTTTAGTTTCTTGCATTAAGACCTAAGTGTTCGTAGACCTAGACATAAATTGAGGAGAGACTTGGACGAGCTTAGTACCTCCTAAATTTTATAAAAAATACATATATGTTTATTAAAAAAAACGCGCTAAAAATTTTGTTTAAATTGCGTATATGCCGAATCTATTGTCAATGTATTCCGAGCAACATTTTCTTTTCGATTCAGTTATATGCTTTTGGTCTACAGAATTTTTTTGTTTCGTGAAATTGTTGTTAATTTATTACAACTAACCCACAAATTTCGGGTTGGGACACGCGAATCATTTCTTATAAAAAATGAAAGCGTTCTGACAATTTAGTTAGTATTCTAAAAGTTAGTATCATCAAAAGGTAACAATCACCCAAAAAATAACTGGGTTGATGAAAAAAATAGCGTAATTCGGTTGAACCATTGTGGTCAATACACAAAGGATAGAGTAATTACTTAAAATGTGATTTATCAGGTATTTTATCAGAGGCTTGGTGTACCCAAACTGGACGGTTAGAAACGTTTATTCGGTGAAACACGTGGTGATAATGTATGGAAAAATAGGAAAGCGCACACATACAAATATATATGTACAAGTACCATTATCGCACAGTATAACGTATACGGCGCATAGGGTTGTTGATTTATGGCCTAGCGAAAATCTGTGGTCTTTAAATTTAATTTTTTTTTTTTGTAGTTCAGAGAAAAACAAATTTATAAAATACGACACTGCAAGACTTAACCGTTTTTTGCTGCGACGCTTAGTAATGCAACAAGAGTAAATTATAGCTCATAAAACAAATTAATTATTTTGTAAAAACGGCACAACATAATATGTGTAACACTATTAATTAATAAAACACACAAAGTCCAATAGAAAATCGACCCTACACTTTCTCTACTTATCTTCGAAACGTTTATACTGATACTCGACTAGAAACAAAGACATTTTGTCATTGAATAATACATTTAGGTTCGAATAATTGGACACACAGAAGGTATTAATGTTTTTGCATCAACAATAATTATGTTAAATTTTCAAAGTTTACAAAATTAAGAGAGGCCCACATTGTGCCAGTTTAATAATTTATCGCTGCGTGAACTTTTCCTATTTTGTTTCACAAATACTGTGTCGCGAAAACTTTTGCCAAAAAAAAATAAAACACAAACGAATATACACATATAAAATTATAAATTACGCATAGCACGTTCCAATAATTTATATTACACGTTTAACTTTTATATAATCCCATGGCTCTTAAAACATCTGTATGCAGGTTGGTCCGCTTATTTACAGATAGCGGAAATTTACCGATTACGTGAAGAAGAACACATTATTGATTTTTGAAAGAATAATGATTTCCCAAACATCGCTCTGCAGTGTAACTTAGTGAATTTATTGAGTCCTATTGATTTATATTGGGTACTTAATTGTAATCGATCGGTTCGAGTGTTTGCAAACACAAGCTCCAAACTTAAGCATTGTTTTTATGTCGATAACTTTTGAGTTAGTCATTGTATTTACTATTCATCGGTGCACACCAAACAATAACTAAACAAATATAATTATTTATAATTATCTAGGTTTTATTACAAAAAAAACGTTGTTTCTCAGTTAGTTATAATGCATCAGACAATAGTCATATCATCAATCTAACAGTGTACTTTTCTCTGACGCAACGTGGCTAATAACGACAATACAAAATACATGTAAACAATCAACATAATATATCGTACAAAATAATATCGTTTTGTGTCCGTGCCAATGGCCACCAGAACTAAAGTATAAAAAAAATCATTAACACCTATTAAATTGTTACATTAATTATGTATACTAACTAAAACAATTGCACAACAATCACTCGGTAAAATTATACGCGATGTTGCCGCAGCGATAATAATAAAATAACTCGAAAATAGTCTAATTCAATCATTAACACATTGTATACAATTATTAAGGTTTGAGAAATTGACTTTACACAATGGATCTTACATTACCGTGTTTTAACGATATTACAAAGAATAAATATTTATGTTACTTGTAAACAAATCAATTTGGTGTAATCTTTGGCTATGAAAGACCATCCGAAATTCAATAACGTTGTGTAACGCCATTAATTATATTTTGTATCGAAGAAAGTATTACAAATTAAACACACGCGTTGTAAATCGAATCAATTATATTTAACTTAGAGAGTGCCCTACTGCCCCTGAAAACACTCCATAATTGTATTTTTTTGAATACATAAAAATGATTTGATGTTATCGGTTAAGCTACTTAAAGTTTCATCCATTACACCGTCTGATCCTTTTCAATTAATTTAACGAGGTAGGTCTACGTCGTCGTTACCGTACCGTTTGTGTTTCAAACTTTTATATTTCCGAATGATTGAACCGTAAACATTTATCATACGACTTGGCACAGCATCGGAACTATTTAATTGATTCTCTTTATGTATTCAGTATGACTTTTTATCAATTATTGTTTGACGGCATCCCGTCCGAACCGGCGAAATGAGTTTTTTGTGCGTTCACTGTAACCAAGTGGTTGTACACAACGGCCAATTGAGCGTCGATCGGAGCAAACGAAATTAAAAGTGGTGCCAGTACGAGACTGGAATGGGCTAATTGGTTATCGAGTGAAATCACAATAGTTTTTAATATTAATATATATGATAATAAATACTTTTCAAAAGAACCAGCCACGAGTACTGATAAAAACGTGATGTGTATATTGAGAGCCGCCGGGTGACTGCTGCCGGCAATGATGTGGTCACTAAAAGCACTATAGCAGTTGGCAAGGCTTCCTATTTGTGGTCATATATAAACACCTAGTCCGTGTGTCTAAAGCACTTTCGATTTTACAGCCGATATACAAACACACATCAGAGATGAAGTCAATCGCGGTAAGTACAGCTTATTTTCTTTAAACTCATTTCAAAACTCCTTTTGCGTTCACGGTTTTTAAAAATGTTATCGTCGTTTTTAACCGGATAAAAAATAATTGGTTTTTTGTCATTAATTCATTTTATCCCGAAAACCCTCATGACATTTACTGACTCTAGTCTTCTAATAAAAACATAATCTTTATTTAAAAACAGCATTGAACACACCACCATTAGCTGTAGTCATTTTTAACGCAATTAAAACAAACGACTAGTATTTGAATAATAAATCGCACATTTTTTTTTATAAAATATTAACATTAAATGCGCGTTGTTATTGAAATTTTTGTAATAACCATAAATTGAGCGCAGAAGTCGTAAACCATTCGATATATTTTTTAATGTACGATTTTCTTTGTTATCCGTTCCGTATTATTATTTCAGGTGTTAGTGTTGCAATTAACCGCTCTTTGCGTGGGCCAGAAACACTCGAAAAATCAAATTGGCCCTCAAGCCTATGACATGGCGTACAAACCGCAAGGATATCCACAGCAACAAATAGCCACCCCCGGGGATGCTACACAAAATTACTATTACCCTCAAAGTAAACTAAGTTTGCAACAGGAACAACAGTTGCGACTACAGCAGCAACAAGCACAACTCCAACAACTGCAACAGCTGAATTTGCAACAAAGACTTCCGCAATCGCAACAGTATCAAACGGCACAGCAACAGGAACGTCTTCAGGACAATCAAATATCACAACAAGAATATTTACAAGCATGGCAGCAATATCAGCAACAGTTACAGAGAATGCAACAGACCGAACAGCAGGCATTATTGTCTCAGCAGCAATATTATCAAAAACCTCTATTCCAACCCGCACCTTCAACGTACGAGTCGCCGGCAAATGGCCAGTTACAACAGAGCTTGTCGTCCAATTCAGGCGAATTGCAGCAGACACAACAGACGGCCGGCTATTACCAGAACCCATTGGGAGTTCGCTATTCTTCGGCCGCCGAAGCGTCTAGATTCCAATTTTCCGGTAACGGTATTAATTATTCGTTTTGAATACATTTCCATAATGATGTTCATTTTTTTTTTTTTTTTTTTTTTTTGGTTTATTGTTATTTTATTAAAATTGTTTTTTTATTATTAATAGTGTTTTGTTTAAATAAATTGAAATTTTTTCAAGGGATACTCTCTTGGACTGTGTAAATTGAATTACGCGCGGCTAGTCCTTCCATAGACACCGACCTCGTTGCTTGATCGGTTGCCACTTTGGTCCTTTTAAAATAGCTTCGGATCCTTTCTTTAGTAGAACTACAAACATAAAACCAATAGAATTACACGCATAAAAAACAATCAATAATCTGTTTACATACTATAGAAATATGGAGAATAATTTAATGCGTAGGTCGTTGGGTCATAGGTTTTACACGGTTCCCATTGGTGTCAATAAATAACTGAAATGATTTTAGATGTTATGTTTTCATGAATTAAACGCGATAGGTTTAGAGCAAAATAATAAGAAAAATATCGATGCGTTAAAGAAAGTAAAAATAATCTATAAATATATTTTGGTGGTGTTATTTTGATTTTTTCATATAATAAATAAATTAAACATACTGATTATTTCTAAAAAATCTTGTTGGCCAGTTAATTGCCGTTTATGTAACTAATACATTATTTTTACTTTATGGAAATATTTTTATTTTTATTACGTTTGATTGTACTTATCAATGATATATTTCTTAGTAAATAAAACTGTTTAATAATGTCGTTTAAAAATTCGGAATCCTATCAATTCATCACATTGATATGCGTGGCATCTCGTTGTGATACATGAAATCTGACGAATTTAATTGAAAATAAAAACGTTTTTTTTATACACCGATATTCGATTAACCGTTTATGATATAATATTTATGAAATGTATTTCTTTTCATTATTAAAACATCAACGAAAAGAAATTTTTAATTGAAACATAATTTAGCTAAAAGTGATTTTCATAATTTACCTGTCCGAGTTCCAAGCCACAAACAGTAGTGGCGTAGTAACAGTTGGCACAAATGCTAACCAGACAAATATCATAAAAGTCAAATCAAAATGTCTGCTATTTTCGTACGTTTCGGCTACTTCAAGTTTTGCTAATCTGTAACAGACACCAAAATTATCTTTTAACTCTGGTTAATTGTTATGGTTCGATTTATTTTCCAGAAGATTTATTGTTATATTGATTTATTGTTATGAAGATATATTGGACTTGTGAGTTCTGACTGAGAAATTTTATATGGCGAATAATTATTAATAATTGTTGTGCATTTATTAAAGAAACGAGTTTCAAAAAGACTTACAGATATTCCACATTAAAATTTAAATTGCTCTATTATAAAATTCACTATTTTGTTTTAAAACCTAGACATTTAAATATTTATTTAAAAAAATATGGTAATTTATTTTACGCTTATAATAATACTCGAAAATATATCCTATTCTTATTTCATCTTTAATTTATAAATCGAAAAATATAATAAATTATAATAATAATTGACATGTAGAATATTATGATATGAAATTGGGTAATAATGTTATTTAATATATTTTCTTTTGTATACAAAAAATAAATGTTAAGATTATTTTTGTACTTAATGTACTCGTGAAGTACGAGTGACTGTGCACGTGTGTCTTTTTTATAAGAAAAAATGAATTTATACAAAGTGTAAAAAAATCCCCAAAAAGGTGGAAGTGACATTATTGTCTGTACTGGGTGGTAAAAACCTAAAAGTGTCCGGGTTTTCTATGTTTAGTGTTGCGAGGGTCTGGAAAACGCTTACGGTATATAAAATCCTTTTATTAGAATTACCAGACTTACACTATCCTCTAACTTTGACAGTGTTGTAAGGTCTATTATTCTGGCAGTTTTTTTCCTAAGCATCACAATAAAGTCATAACAATGGCTCCGTTTTTCACGGAAATCTGAATGTGTATTGCTACAATGAAGGGAAATCGATTGTTATAAATTATAATATACTCCACGTTATATAAATCAAATACTAAAATTAAATATGGATATTAATATTATTTATGAGTTTATTGAGTAACTAATGTTCAATATTTTTTTAAAATTTTTGAAGACCACGTATACGATGAGTGAAAATGTATAAATGTAATTTTTATGACGATTTAGTAAAAAGTTACAAGGTGTTAATAAAAATAAAATATAACTACATCGTAACTTACAAACCAAAGACATTTATTACTGTTGTAACAGGAAAATAAGGATCAAATAGTATATATTACATTATAACGGAGAATGATTCTAGTTTTTTGGTAGTAACTTGATTTAAACGTCACCATTTGATTATAAAGAATTTGTATAGATAATATAAAGGAAAACTGAGTTAAATTCGGTGAATTTGTTTTTTATACGAACCTCAATAAATTTAAATTTGTTAAGCTTTCAAAGGCGCAGATGTATACTTGTGGTGCTTGGTTAACATATTACCATATAGTTCTATACCCATGTAAATGTATGCAATTTTAAGCACACGATTGCACGAACAAATCATAAATCTTATTTAATATCATAATTGCCGGAAGAAAATTGGATATTGATGTATTGTTTTAATGTATATAATTGTTTGAGCAGCCATCACAAATTTAGCAACTACTAATTGTATTATTACTGAATATTTGGTTTTTGTCACTAATGAAAATTTACAAGTTTGATATAATAATTAATATTAAATAGTGCAAATTTTAGATTTTTCCATGACCTGTTTAAATTTGTAAAGCGGACTTCTTTTTTTTTTTAAATGATGATCAAAAAAAAAATAATAAGTTTTCATAAGATATTTTCTCGATTGGGCGCACTTTTGATTTTGTGTCTTATGGTGTCAATCATTTCTAGATTTAGCATTGACTTTAAGTCTAGAATATCAAAATATTTTGACGATTGCCTCGTGCTTATATAAGTAAAACTTATAACTTTACGATTTATATTTCCTTTCGATTAATTTTACAATTAAGTTCAGGTTTGTTTCGTTTTAAACACACAGTATATAAAACGTTTTCAAAACACCAAAAATGTCTAAATTTACATTGGTAGTCTGTGAAAATTTAAACGTTTTAAACTGTTCACTTATGTTTTAAATAGGTTTTTTTTTAACACGTTTTTTAACAGCTTTGATTTAATTATTGATTTGACATCACTATTATTTAATATTTAATCATTTTTTACAATTCAATCATTTTAATCATTATAAAAGAGTTAGTTATGGGCTCAAAAATAAGAATATTGGTATTGGCAGGTGTGGACCTAGTCTTACTTTATAATATGGCCGACTTATTTTTGCAATAAGCAGTCTACTCTAAAAAAGTTGATCTCATCATGGCCAACTTTCTATAAAAGTTTCAATACTATTACTGTACTAACATGATTTTTACGCTTTTACAGCTCATTAGCAACATACTCAAAAAGAAGATTTTTGAAACATTGTTACACTTATACAAAATTAATAAAATGTCTGTTACGAGATTAGCTAAGACAATTTACTTTTTTATAGTTGTAAATTTAATGCATGGATTTAAATCACCATTAAATGGTGATTTTTTTTATCGCAAACCACTCAACTAATTCATTTATATGAATATAAAAATAATATTAATAATAAATTGTTTGGTTATTTTTAGTTCTACGTTTTTTTTTTAATTTATCAACCTTAAGTATTATTTATGTTATTCTTATACCTTATAAGGGTGTCAATTATAATTTTTCAAATGGCAAAACATGTATAATTAACTAGATTATTCATTAAATAATGGTATAATTAAAAAAATGACTTCTCGATGACGATTATTGGATCAGTATTTCAAAAGTCATTATAAAACTTTTATGTCTGAGGTGCGACAGAGAAATGTATAGAGATAAAGAAACTGCAATTATAATTTACATAGTTAAGAACTTATGAAATACCAGTCCAAAAGCTGTTATCGGCCACTAATCCTATTTTTAATTAAATCATTATCGAATAAATGAACAAGTTAATTATGTATATAGCCATTTAAAAGATTTAAGTTGACACCATTATTAGGTACAAAAGACAAACATTACGAATATTTTTTTTATCATGCAATGCATATAAAATTTGAAATCAATAAGACTGCATTTGTGTGATTGCAGTAAAGAATAAATTAATTATTTTAAATATTTTTTTACAATTAAGGTGTGCAATAATATGTGTACAATATTCGACTCATTCATGTGCATTGTACATAAGTGCATGTATATTTTATGAGACATCATAAAATATTGAAATTCACGAATTTTTAGAAATAGTTTTAAACAATTATGGATATGTCTATACATTTTGGGATGTTTGCATCATATGTACATTCGTACAAACGATGATTGGTAATGTCGATCATTTTTTTTATTAGAAATGCAGAAAAAAAAAATTAAATGGTAATAATAATTAAAACTCAAGAACAATTTGAATTTTTTATAATTATATAAAATACTTTTGAAAAAAATACAACTTGCCACGTGAAACAGAATCTGTGACACGACACGGAGCTGTTCATTTTACGTACCCGACAATAGTCTGCTGTGACTGACGGAAGATAAAAAAGGCTTATAAGCTAGTTTAAATTTTAGAAGTCACTTTTCTACGCTTTTAGGAAGAGCATTACCAAATAAAAATAATTTTTTATATTTTTATTCACTTACTTCATACTAAAAGACATGAGCCTTTTCAATTTTTAAAAATATTTTATTTTTTATTTTTTATTGCGTTCCGCGAGAGCTTGCTTTTTTAATTCATCCCTAATATTATATCAACGTGTCAGCTTTATTTTATTATATATAAATATATATATATATTTAATTATCTTATAAAATAGAAAATTACTAGCACATAATAACATTGGAACCAGTATTTCAATGTTCATATTTTATATCTCCAGTCCATATTTTAGAATGATGTTTGTATATATGACATCAAATTGTAATGACAAAGTGACTTATAGTTAAAAACATTTAAAAAATGAAATATTAATTTAAATTAAAGAAATATTGAATTTATTCATAAATTATGGGTATATAAAAATATCTATTTTTAAAAACTAAGAAATAAATTATTATTAAAAATGGAAAGTAAAGCATTATGAGATGCGATTAACAGTTTTCAGAGTCTTCACAATGAAAATGATTACTATAGTAAGTACATATAGGAGATCAAACATGGTGGTATTCTACTTAATAACTAATATATCATCAATAACTGTCAAAATGGAGATTGATCTTTCAGATTCTTGTTAGTAGAAGTATTATAAATATATTGTATATTTTGAATTAATATTAGTTGAATAGTATAATTTATATATTATATATATTGATTCATTCCAGAGTTTTTATTTATATATATATATATGCCAACTATAATATTTTAAACTTTCATGATAATATTATTTCTAATTATAATTAAGAAGTCTACAATTTCTACTTTTGTGTAAACCATTGCGCTCTTTATCTATTGTAAAGTAAAATAGAACTTGTATTTAAGAAGAACTGAGCCAAATTTGAATATTGAAACTATTTAAGTAAATGATTACATGAAAAATTGAAAAATATTACTTATTGGTAGTTGATATTTAAACAGCGATTACATCACAATTATCATAACATCTCGAGACAATTTGTAATTAATAAATATTTTGATTTTATCATATAAAAAAGTATATTTCTAAAACAATTCTGATACATTTTCAATACATTATGGATTTCCGTTTTCTTCCAAACAACTAATACGTTATTTTGTGAATTGAACAATGTTCAATATATTTATTTGATGTTCGATGTATAAAAAAAGTTTTCAAGTAATCCTTAACATGAAAAATATAATAACATTGAATACAGCTTGGTAATATAACTTGAATGATTGAAGGTGGATGTAAGTCCTTGTTTAAAGTTTATTTCTATTTTCACGAAGATTTATAAAGATGTCATATGTATTTTTCTAAGTTACTTATATGTTGTATTCCTTTGTAAAATCATTTACTTAGAAATTATTCTCTTATTGATCCAAATATAGTGAAATAAAAATTAAATATCTGATATGAAACTTTAAACTATTAGAATTAATTTTTTATGTCAATTTAATCATACCACAAAATTATTTTGAATCGAAAGTTTTCTCTCTTTTTTGCATATACAAATGTAATTAATAGCTGAACATTTCTAAGGTAAAACAATTTATTGTGTAAAATACTATTTATGTTTATAATTGATTTAAATTTATCCATTTTATATACAATTCTGATATTTTAAATAGTCATAAGGATTTTTTCATATTATTTCACTTAATTCTAGATATTACTTTTATTAAAACCAAAAATTTGATATAAGTGTGTAATAACCAAAAGGCTCTAATTATGGATTAATTTTCGCCTTATAATAAATACAATTGGTTCTTCAATGTAGTTTGATACTTATTTAAATGTTACACAAACCCGTAAAATTATCAGTAGTTGTACCAGTTTCTATTTCAAATATTGTATAGTTCAAATTACTCATATGGTATTAGTTAATCTGTTGGATCAGTATGCCCGTTTAAAGATTTATATTACTTTTGAGTTTTTCATAGTCAGTTTTCAAAAATGATCACTCTACAGAAAACAAATTTTTGGTAAAGTAAAACTAATCACAATTTTGATATAATAAAATTTTCAGTTTTTGTATTGATCAAAAGTAATAAGTATTCATTGTAAAAAAAAATATATTACAATATAATTGGTTTATTCATTTTTTTTAACTGAAGATTTGTTTGCTATTTTTAAGTTTAAATTTAAGTTATAAATTATTTTTTATAGAAGTTATCAAATAAATTTTCCAAGTTGTTTATCCAAATGAGTAATAATAATGATACATTGTTCCTATCGAAATATATTATTACTACCAACAGTTTTATAAAACAAGTAATATCAATGAATTTTTACTTGATATCCAAATGTTTAATCAATCTGTAAAACGCAATCGTTTGAATGCATAAAAAAAATTGTAAAAACAAAGTATGTAATTTTTGTTTTTATTATATTATAAAGTTAAAAATAAAGTGTTCCTATTTAAGAAAATTATAAATAAGGATTTTTATCTCTGAAGAGACGAATAAGATTTAACACACATTTAACTGTAGAGTTTTTTGAACCTGATATTTTTTCTCTTTACAAAAATTAAAAATTCTCGGAAGTTTCGAAGAAAATGAGTATCTCACCAGAATTTCTGGATATTTTTAACAGATAATTTAAATAAAAATAATATTGTCTGCTTCTATAAAGAATTTACTCAGTAAATAAGTATTAAAAATTTGAAAAACCTCTTCAATTTAAGAAATCTATAAGATTCTAAAGATTACACTTCCGTAAAAAATGGCATTTTCAACATAATTTAAAATGTTTTTTACAACTTCATTTTTGAAAATGTTTCGAAACAACTGCGTTCTTCAAATCTATATTATATAAAACTTTTGAAGTATACTACAATATTATGAAATGAAAATGTTCCAACAAAATTTTTAAATGAGGTAAAACAAACTAAAATAGTACACAATTAAAAAAAAAAAATTTTATTTTATATTAAAAAAATAATTTAACAAGCATTTAACATTTAAGGGAAATTTTAAAGATGACACGACTTGCGTCGCAAAAATGTGGTCGACACTGGTTAAGAAAAAGATATTCTAAAATGAAAAATTGACAAATTATTTTATAATAGTGAAGTTAATCACTGACAGATATCGTCTATACTTGCTCAACTACACCACGTCGCCCATTATGATGTGTTTTTATTTGATGACGAGGAAGGCAAAATAGTAAAACGTTCTAAAAAATTGTTACATTTTACTTAAATAAATGTAAGAAGTAATAAAACAACAACATATGAATTAACAGATTTAATTATAATTATACCACTACGGTTCACTTAGAAATTTACTCGTTCTTGAAATACATTTGTTTCATTAGTTAATTATTTTTCTTTTCTAAAGATAAAATAATAATTATTAAGTTATTTTTCCGTGCGGAACACCACTTAATAAAATTGAAAATGTTTTTTCATGGTTCACAAAGTTTGAGTTACCGTAGATTATTATTAAGTCGAAGGTCTGTCAGCCTATTTCTGGCGAATTGTGTATTTATTGCCTCCGAGTACCTTAGAGAAATATTTGTGCTATTACTTCAGATATTACGTTTATACTCTTATCTGTTTATTCCAAAGTTTTTTATGATTGAACTAATATAACACGAACCTCAAGATTGAAAATCATAATTTTTCATTTGAATTTCATCCTTTAACAAAATACAAGTTTATAAGAACCAGCTTGTTGAGAATTCTTGAGGGTATGTAATTTAAATAAAAGTATCAAATAAATGTTTCAAAGAAACAAAAAATATGAGTATAAAGAAACCAATCACTTATATACAAATAGTTATTTTGCATAACACAACATATAAATAATATTTATAAAAAAAAAAAATACAATTTTATTGATGTACTTTATTTTAGCACAAGTATTAAGTATCAAAAAAATAATAATAATAATAAGGTCGTATAATAGGTAATTCACTTAATTAATCGAAAAATAAAAATAATATTAATAATTTTTTCATTAGTTTTTTTTTTGTTCAATGTTTCTCACAAACAAAAAATATTTTTTATATTTATATTATTATATTTCTTATATTTTAAAGGTGTCAACTTTAATTTCAAAATGGCAACACATATAATTAATTGGCTTATATAAAAGATAAGATCTAAATAAGAAAATGACTAGTCAATAACAAGTTTTGGACAAGTTTTTAGAAGTTATTGACATGTTTACACCTTGACGGAAGAAGGAGTACAGCCAAGAAAAATCTAGTTATAAAATTAGCAACACCTACTATTCACCTTTAAACCAAAACCTTGGAAAATACTGGTCCATAAGTTGTTATTGAACAAGTATTTTCTTATTTAACTTTGTGCGCCAAAGAAAAATTATGGAAAGTTTTCTTAGTATGAATTTAAATAAATAATTTATAGAACAACCTTTTCTTCTTTAAAAATAATTGCAGTACTGAATACAACGAAATAATTAATATTTATGATAAATCGATTGTGAATAGTTTATTTATATTATTTTTGAACGGAATATCGTCAATGTAAGTCGTTACTTAAATTATAATTTTATGAAAATTGAAGTTAAAACTAATCAAAATACAATTTTATATCTATAATTATTTTGTTTCTATTTTATGAACAAACTTGGAAAAAACAAAATTTGTTTTTTCAAAGAAACTAATTTCCATTTAATGTAAATTAGTTTCTTTGAAAGTTATATCTTTGAGGTTCAAATTTCATGGAATTGGTAAATTAATTAATAAACTTACCTCAAAATCATGAGTGGACATAAACATACTGCGTAGGCTGTAACCATAGAGATCAAATATTTTTGAGTCTTAGATTCTTTATAACTATCAATTTCAGTATCTGAATCACTGTAGGGCGATTGTATGTCACTGTGATTTGGGGTCTCAGGATTTCTGAAAATGAGAAATATAATGAACGACTACCCAAGTGTATACAAGGTGATTTATTTATCATAAACCATTTGATTAGCCAAAAATTAAAATAATATTAAAAAATAATTTTGTTTCCTTTAGGTACATGTTTTAATAAATTTATCAATCATAAATTATGATTGACAAATTAAAAATAATACTTTATGGTTCATAAATTTATTTTATATTCATTCCTTTGTCTTAGATTCGAAGCAGAGAAGGTATTAATTTTATAATAATGAGTTTATTTATGTGTCTGTCATTACAAAAAAAAAAATTTTCTCAGCTCTCACTGGACCGATTTTTCTCGACGATACGTCAAAAGATCACAAATCGTATCTAGTTAAATATATTTCCCTCGAATATTGAAAATTTACCCTTTAGTCCCCAATAATAGAAGAAATCCGGTAAAAATTTTCGATTTTAAAAAATAGTTAAAAAGTTTTTATTGCATTAAGAATAATTTCTTCTAAAATTTAAGCACTATAGATTTGCATCGAATCATTTTTTATGATTTTTTTTAATCACTGTCCGATACTGCCTATAATTGTTCCAACTATTTTACGTTCCCATTGTGCCACGACCCCAATGTGTATGGTTTTTCATCTTATGAGGGTGTCATTTTATAGTAATGACTGGAATTAAGATGCGCGTGCTGCTATTTCGATTACTACAAATTTCTTGGTATTATTCCTTCTCCTACCTAATATAAAAACGTTAATAACTTCTGAATTATTAATCTAAAATTTGTTATCAACTAGTAATTTTTAAATTAGATTATTATATATTAAATAAGAAAATAAAGTAAGAAGGATGCCATTTAAAATATAAAAGTAGACACCCTTATAAAGTATAAGAGACGATTATAAAAAATACTTCATGATTGATTAATTGAGAATAACTAATTTTTCAATTAATTAAGTAGTTCATGTCAAATTAATTACTCTGTATTTATTTTTTTACTCATATAAAAATATTTAAAAAAATAGCATAACTGTAATATTAACTGTAACAAGTACTATAAAAAATTTTAATTTATGTAGAAAATTTAAAAAAACACAAAACTATAGCAATATTGCTGTTTAAAATATGTAGGTGAATTCTTTATGAAATTATAACGCTAATTTCGAATCTACCTTTAGATATTTTAGATATTTTTTTGAGACAACTATTAATTGATAATTAATGTATTATTTATGTATAAATAATAAAATCATTATAAAAACTTAAATTATATATAATATTAATTATGAGGTTAATAAACCTTTAAATTTGAGATTGATGGTATTTTTTTATATAAAAAAAGCTTAACTTATAACTGTAACAATATGTGGGTTAATTTCATAAGCATAAAATTACTACAACAGATAATTTTGCGGTTAATTTAAAAATATAATTTTTTGTTTTTCACAAATCAAATAACTGGAATAAACGAAATTATGATAAAAAGGCGTACGTAAAAACAAAAAATTCGAAAAACACTTATTTTATTTTTAAACCCTTGTTTTGTACAATTTTTTTTGTATTTAAAAAAAATTAATGACATTTTTCTATATTTTTTGTCTGGTTTTTAATTATGACCAGTTCATATTATTTTGTTTTTATCTGTTTTTGTTAATTATAATTTTGGTTGTAAATTAAAAAAATTAATAAATGTCAAAACCACATCAGCTATAATATAAATAATCTTTCCTAATGTATGTATTTAATAAAATCTATAGATGTTGAATCTCAAATTTGTTAAAAATAGTATTTATATTTTTCAAAATTATATTGTTTGTATTTTTTAATAGTCATGACTAGTACACTTAATTTATTTTAAAGTCTTTTTATTATTACAAATACTTTATTAGTTGAATACTTAGAAAAAATCGTCTGATGCGCAAAAAGAATTGGTTTAATGATAATTGCAAGAACATGATCGAGGAACAAAATAAAACCAAAGCATTCCATACACCAACCCTCAAGAACGTTTTCTATATAAAAAATGCATCCACTCTGTATATGTAGTGCCACATGGACTACGATTAGAGGTGATGATGAAAAATGACGTTTATTTAAAAAAAGTTTTTTGAAAAATCTACGAATCCGCATTCAAAAATATGGAATAGAAATGGGTAATAAAAGCTTACGCCCCCCAACTGTACCAGATTTACAAAAAAGAGGATGTGGTATAATTTATCAGAGAGACAAGGATAGAATGGCCAAGACATGTAAGGCGGACCGATGAACATATTTAAAGGAACATATATATGGTGAGGGCAAAGAGAATAAGAGGAAAATCGCAAATATAATGTAAGGACATCGTCAAGAAATTATTAGAAGAAATGGGAGTTAACTGGAAGCAGACATATGATAAAGGGCAATGGAAAGAAGTAGTTTTGGCGGTCTAGAGTCTAAATGGTTCGTAAAGCCGAAAAAAATTCAAAATATCAATCTACATGTAATCTATCAATATGTTAAACATTTTAAATTACAAATTTCATAAATTAAGACAAAAATATTTCTAGAAAATATCTTATGTAAAGTCAGTATGTATTTCAATAAACTTTATAGCCTATTTTTAAATTAAGATTTTTTAGAATCTATGTAAAGCTAAAGTGTGTATTCATGTATAATGATCTTTTATAACATTACTACTGGATGTAAATTATAAATGAGTTGTTTTTTGAAAAGCACAATTTTTTATAACAAATAGTTGTGAATTCCCCCCTGTAAATCATTTCATAATTATATTATAGTTCTTTTTTCTAAAGGAAAAAAGATTATATAGGAAGATACAGCGTAAAGAATCTCGCAGCAGGGGGATAGTAAGAATGGCATAGTCCACTGCTAAAGTTTAACTAAAAATCAATTTGTTTTATTAATGGTTTTAATTTTTTCATAAGTTTGTTCTCTTTTCTCGAAAAATTGGAGTCTTAGAATTCTACCTCATTCACATAGTAAAGAAATTACTTGAACAATAATATAATTAAATGAATTCATTCTTTATTATTTTATAAAGTGTACAGAGGGTATATTTTTTAAATTATCGCAAAACAAAGTAGTCATCCAATATTTAAAAAAAATTGTAATTAATAGTAGTAAGGACGAATATCAAACACTATTTATTTTAGACATAATATTTAAATCTAGGATATTTTTTAAACTACTTGAACCTTGTTAAAATTGTATCTACAATTAAGAAAATAACTTTGCGACTGTATTAATGAAGTTTAATTATATTTATTGAAAAAATAACTATTTAATATATTATTTTACATTAAATATCTTAATCAAATTTTACTGTGAATTTTAATTATAAAAGCATTTGAAGTATATCTTGACAAAAACTGCAGCTCGTATTTTAATGAAAAGAAAAGTTTAAAGTGTTTATTTTTATTATTTACCTACTCACTGACTGACTTATCGAAATTACAAGGCATTTCCTGTAATGGTAGAAATGTAAAATATTACATGAAGATCAAGTTAATCAAGTAATTTCAACGTTTTGAAGATAAGTAAATTTTAAATGAGAAGGTATTTTTCTTTTAGGTGAATAAGATGAACTCTATGGAAAATGTTCTAATTAAAAAATGTATACCTCTTGTAATTGTTTCTTTTGAATATTCACTATACTAATATATACAAGGTAAAAAGCAACATTTAAAAGGAATATAATGTATTTTTTGTAGATATAATATATATATTATATTTTTCTTTACAAAAGTGCAGCATCAAATATTATTAAAGCAATTTAATCGTCTAAGTTCTGTTTATAATATGATTGTAATAAATTAGGCTTTGGAGATAAATTATAAGAAACGTCATTTAGGGGACAAAATTATAAAATTTATGTCTCGTAACATATAGACATCTACAAATTTGAGTAATGAATGTGATTTAATAATTGTATCTTTTTAATATAAACACTTTGAAATATAAACATATACGTTCTTGAGCAGACTGGAATGACTAACGAGCTTAAGTCTTGTTAGCGATCGATGATAATTGTTAAGAATAAATTTATGTCTTAAGTTATTTCAGTGATTCCGTTAAATCTAGATTTTATGTTTATTTGTTTAATTAATTATTTTTAAGTTTACCACCACACCTGAGTTGGAGCAACATATCACAAATGCTATTCCTAATAATACATTAATTTATTTATACAAATTTAATAAGTATTTAAACAACAATATGATGTGTGCGATTAACGTGTGATTAAAATTTTTTACTCTGTTTTATAAAATGAACATAAATAAAGTTTACATTACCTTAGAATTTTTTGTGAAAACAAATAAATAATAATACTCCATAACTTTCACTGTTAGAACTTCATTACTTAAAAATATAATGGTAAAATGTTCTATGTATATTATAACATTATTATTTATACAACATAAAGTACTTATCTTAGCACAGTTTTGGCGTCAGTAGAGTTTCAAATTACTTACCAATGCAGAATCTTCGTTAAAAATATCAAACTTAAACAATGGAATAGTTTTTTTTAATGAAAAAATAAAAAGATTATACAAAAATAGCTAAGTCTACAAAAAATGATGAATGTAACATGTATGTGATGTATATTGAATATATTACTTCCTTCCACTTTGTCAGATCACTAAAAGGCAACAAGAGTTTGTTGGTTTTAGTTGGTGTTCGCTTTTGTTCATTGTTTTCTATCAACTCATCATCCATTTTTAATAGTATTCTTTTATTTGCGAGTCTATTGATTTTATGTCTAGTGTTATATACCTATTGGGCCCTTTATAAAATATGCTGATGATTTGATCTTTATGGTTTTTAAAAATTATTTAAAGCGTCATCATGCATTCTAATTTTTAGAAATTGATTAAAGCATACAATAGGTTTAAAATTAATAAAATCAAGAGATTTCAATACACATTAATAAGGGCTAAGAATTATTTGCATTATGTTAAGTTATTCCATAGACCATATTAACACCATCTGTTAGAACAAATTTTTAATAATTGACTTAA